GACACGAACGAGTGATATTGCAGCACGACAACGTTCCGTGCCATCGCACTTCCATCGTCCAGGACACCATGAAAACGCTGAAATGGGATCTGCTACCGCACCCGCTGTATTCACCAGACCTGGCCCCTTCCAATTATCACTTGTTCCGGTCGATGGCACATGGCTTAGCTGGGCTACACTTGGCCAATTTCGAAGAAGTGCAAAACTGATTGGATAAATGGTTTCGATGCAAAGACGCGTCGTTTTATCGTCGCGGTATTCATGTATTGCCAGAGAGATGGCAAAAATGTGTAGCTAGCGAGGGACGATACTTTGAATAAACCGTTTTTTGTATTTCTCTTGAAATTTTCCATTTTGCATTGATAAAAAAAACCCGGAAACTTAATTGCGCACCTAGTACAATAAAACAAGAATGTAATTTTTCGGAGCAAATTAAATTTTCAAATAGCGATAACTCTAAGCAACAAAATTGCACATTCGTGATTTTGGAATAAGAGTGACAATATATTATTAAATAAATTAAATAACAAATAAAAAATAAAATTCAATAATTAATTAAACTTTATTACAAAGATTTTATAATTTCTTTCATAAAACTTTTACAACATTTTTTTCTGAATTACAATATTTAAATAAAAATATAAATAAGTAGCATATAATAACAATATTTTAATATGACGGCATGAATAAAAATTGTCATTACCTGTTTTAAAGTATATTGCATTAATTCTATAATATACGAAACGTTAACGTTTTTATCTTTGACAATTTTTGCGTTTTATATAGTTAATTAATTGTATTAAGAATATCAAATTTTTGTATACTAAGGATGATTGAATAATCTACCGAAACTATGTGTATTTCAAAAACAATGTTGTAAATATAATTGTTGGCATACAATATCTAGTGATAGCTCTTGGGCCGTTTGGCATATTATCGGATTTTTAAATCGTGAAAGCTGTTTATAATGTATGAATTTTATTTATAGAAAAAATGACAATAGCTGTAAGTTCCGTGAAACCAAAACCAACCGCACCAGGAACTGACGTTATAGATCCTGAAAAACACGAAAAAGTAGATATTTCCGCAATGGATCAAACAATGCATTCAAGACCTAAATTACTGCGTATTATCGCGACAAAAAAATTACATCCTCCATCGATTGTGATAGCAGCTAATTCTAAACTTCAAGAATCTGAAATAGAATCTGTTCCTGCTGAAATTATTGTAAACGGACACGTTGATCAAGAAGAAAGGAGAAAGGAGAAAGAATGTCCACAGGTATCTATTCCTACAGAAATTACGGAAAAAGTAAAAGCAGAAGAAATAGTCACGACTCAAATAAGTGTTTCCGAGATCAAAGACACTCCACAGGCTATTGTTGACAATCTGAAGGATGTTGCAGACGAAAAGATAGTTTCAAAAGATATTGTAAACGAAACAACACAAATTTATGCACCTTACCCGCGAGAAAAAATAAAAGAAGAAATACAAAAATCCATCCCTTGTAAATGTGATTTCTGTTTTGACAAATGCGTAAAGCCCTACGTAACCTGCCGAAAGGAATTAGAAGATGAATCGAAAAAGATTCTTTCTTACAAATATGGACCTTCTGATTTTCCAACAAACGACCATTCGTGCTTAATTACCAGATGCATAAAATGCAATAGCACTCCCGAAAATTATCTTTGCAAGAACAATGAACTTAAACAGAAGGAAGATTGCTGTGCACGTTGCCGCTCACTGACAGCACAATGCACTTGCACGTCGGCACAGTATTTGAAAAGTTGCGTGAAAATTGACAAACCGAAATTTCGTAGTATATCATCTTCGAAAATCAGCTCACGGATATACACAGATTGTTGCGGAACAAAGGAAGAATGTGAGTGTAAAAGAACTGCGTTCCGTTGCCAGCCTCACGAAGAATGCAAATGTAGACGCTGTACAACGCGTAGCACTTGTCCTCAAATAGTTGATAAATGCAAGTAAGGCACAATAAAATATTCTTACAGAGAGAAATTAGGAATACACATTAATTAGAAATTTAGAAATATATTTTAATTAATAATTTCAGAAATAAATACAATTTTATATTTTCTCAAAATATCTTCTGTGTGTGCGATTTTCTTGCCCTAATGTGAAATTAGAAATATTCATTAATTAAAAGTTTGCAAATATTTTTTATAATTAGTAACTGATATATAAATTAATATAAATCCATATTTCTTTAAACGTTTCCTTGATTTATTTCCTGAAATATTTCGACAGATGTAAGCTACCAGCAAATTGCATTAACTGTTGCAGACCGAGAGATCATTATTGCACCACATCCGCTTTGGCATGCCACATAATCAAGAAAGGTTGCAGTCGCAAGAAAGCAATGATTTGCCTGTATTGCGATAATCCCCAAGACAAATGCATATGCAGAGCACCGATCGGAAAGTGCACGCGTTCCGAATTGCCGTCAGATATTTGCAAGTGTTACGATTGCGATCGTGAACAGATTTCCAGAAAACCGGATGAAAATCAAACAATACGGGTCACTAGTTGGAAACCGAGAAAGGAAATCAGGTACTACTTCGCGAGAAATTTCAAAGACTTACGGTCGGATTCCATCGAAGGATGTCGTTGCCGTGAGAAGCCGAAACGACAGCCTCCTGAAGAGCTGCCTTATCAGCGGCTAAATATCTTCTTGGACGTGATGAACGAACTGCAGCAAAACATGAGCGAGTCTGTATGCTGCACACGATGCTGGAAGAATCCCTGCTGCTGCGGGTTGCGAGTTGATCAAGATGAGAGAAAGAAAGAAAAGAGAGCCGAAGATTACCTCAGGTATGTAGTTGTCAAAAGATCACCTAAAGAAACCTTCTTAAAGATTATCTAAAACACTAAAGATTTTTCTGGTGTCGTAATTTATCTTGATAAATAGAAAAAAGTCAAATATCGAAAAAGTTGATCTCCGAGAATTTCTAAGGTAAGGCGTCTTTGATCCCATAAAGAGTCCAACAAAGTTCCAGTTTCTGTAGTTTACTATTTGAGCTTTAAAAGAAGTTTAGCCAACTTTTTCACTCGTGTTACTTTTCACAGTTACTTTTCTTTATTTTCTCATGTTTTGCGGTTTTATTTTTCGGATTTAAAAAAAATATTTTTAATAAATCTGTCACCAGCAATGATTTCCAATAATAAATAATTATTACAGCTTTTCTTAATTAGCACGTTAAATCTTTGCGGAATTCTTATGTCTATTTTTAATTAGGTGTCCTGAAATAGACAAATCATCTAAACGCAAATCACACAAAATGAAATCGCCTAAAACCAAATCACCGAATAACTGCGGATGTATTTCGAGCCCCAGGGATGAGCATACAAACATTATTCCAAGTCGACGTATTGGTTGTGTCTGTAAATTGTCACCATGCAGATGTAGAAAAAGCAGACCTTTAAGACACTATAAGAGGCCGTTAGCAAAGTGTTATTATTGTAAGAGTTTGCCTTGCACGTAAGTAAATTAAATTATATAATACTATATTTTATTAGACTTTTTTACGTCGTGTTATTGGTATTCAAACTAGCTATTAATATTGTTTGAACGAGGGAGATTTTTGCGAGTAATTTAAAAGCGGAATATTAACGATGCTTTATCTTGTCAATGAAGTCCGTACATATCCGTACCGACCCTCGTACTTTCCGTTGTTGCTTTTTTATTGCATTCTTTGCTGTAGCTGCATTACGGTGAGGTAGCCCGGTAACCGAGGCCGTGCAGGTGCAGTGATTCACAAATAATACGGAACGAAAGCGAAGGCGAGAAGGGATTACACCAATCCGAGAAGCAAATACGAATAGGTAAATGATGTTTATTTAGTTGCACTCGCAATCAATAAACCGTCGAGCAAATATATAGTGGTATATCACATGTAAATTCGAGATTCTAAAATATGTTTACAATGAAAAAAGAAAAGTGATAGAAATATCTGAATATATTATAAATAATCAATGTAACGTTAACAAATTATTTGGCATTTTCTGCTTACATCTTGATTGCTATTTCTCAATTTTATTCTCATGCCGTTTTAACAGATGCATGGTATTTTCCTAATGCAAATAGTGTTCGGTTTTGCAGATAACAAAACAATTAGTAAAAATTGCACGGTAAAAATTTCTTAATATATTTCTCTCATATTCAAATTGCTAATGTTATGATTAACAATAATTTGCTATCTGGAAACTATTATTGGAAGTTATTGATATTGTGATCTTAAATAGAAAATATTTAAAAGGAATCGGACCGCGCGTAAGGAAATCGTTGCCAATATGTTTTGCGATTGAATATCAATCGCTTTAGACGGTTTTTCGGGAATTCGTACTGCTCGCAATAAAATTCTACAGCAGACGATTCTATTGTCGTTGAGCATCGATGCTTGCTCTTACAATTATATTTATATTATATTTATATTTATATAAGCATTATATTTAAATTTATATAAGCATTCTAGAAGAAGTTCCTCACAAGTAGTCATTTAAATTTGATCGAAAGAGACATAAACATGTTTTCATCGAAATTTTAGATCTTGCAAGTTACTACAATATACTCAATTTATTATCTACAGAATATTTCAACAAATAAATTGCTGATAGTCTATATTCTATGTATGAAAAATGGAGATTTGCAACAAGCAGAATCAATTATCCAATGTAACTCGTGCAAAATATTTCAACAAATAAATTGCTGATAATCTATATTCTATGTATGATATTAATATTGTGTAACATTCTATATTGTGTAATATTTTAAAATGATTCAAATGTTTTTGTGCAGTTTAAATTTCGTAATATATTCTGACATGATACAGATTACTACTAACCAAGAGATTTACGTTTTTTCAGGTCATAAGATAAGAATTCCCCAACACGTTTCTCATATATATTTACGCGCACGCAATTCACATATGATACAAAATATATAGTCCCGAAATTCGAAAATGAAAAACAAATTAACACCATTCTAATAATTGTCACATAATGCGATAATAATTAACATCAAAGTTTGATTAATAAAATGATATCATCATTTGTCGGATATTTGACAGCCTGAGCAATGTAAAATATTTATTATCTATCAAGTTACTTATTTACTTTGTAATTATAAAACATTAATAATAGAATTATAATTTTTATATCAATTTAAAATAAATGATATTATTACATATATTAACAACAGCGAAAATGCAATTTACATTAATCGAACTACGGTCCTGTCATAGCAAAAAATATTATTCTTTTTATTTGAAGTGTATTATGATATTTTTTAAATGTAATGTAATACATTTTTTAAAAGTATTTTTTAGAAATATATTATTTTAAATATTCCTAAACTATAAGAATATTAACGAGATAAAACGTGCAATTAAATATAAAAAATTATTATTATAGAGTGACGTACGGTTCTAAAATAAGAAAAAAAAATTATTCTTGTATATAAGAAAAATTAGAATTAAATTTATTATGTTTATTTTATCATTACTATTACATTTTTATGACTTCTTTCAAATAATGCAGAATATATTCTAATAGAAAATAATTAGAAAATACGTCACAAAGCAAAAGATTCACAAAATCTTAATGTGGCTCTGACGATCGGTTGGAGTAGGGAGCACCTTACACTGTATGCAAGATGCTGTATCCGCCTTGTATTAGACCGGTACTGGCTATAGCCGAGTGAAGACATCAGGTAGCACGCTCTCAGTTTTCTGACATTAAATATTACTTGTTTTGATCGTACCTCGTGGTTTCGTTGAAATTGAAAGAAACTTTCGCCAGTTGAATAGAGAACCGAATCGCGAAGTGTCGATACTCCGTGGCTGAAAAATGGAGATTTGCAACAAGCAGGATCAATTGTCCAATGTAACTCGTGCAAAATTGTCGTGTCTCACTGAAAACGGGGAAAAACTTCGAGAAGAGAAAGTTTCCACCCTCCAGGAACTTATAGATGCGCTGCACGAGGCTTTCAAAACGGATCGCGTGGATATCGATCACGTACAAGACCTGATGATGAACTACAAAAGCAATCCTCAAGAGTGGAAGAAATTTGCCAAATTCGATAGATACAGGTATCGATATTCATTCACTTATATATTATGTTTATAACGCGTGTTTAGTATTTAATAAAATATATTTTACGTGTTTTATTATATATTCATTAATAGATAAAATTATGTAAGAAATATCTTACGAGTTACGATTACTAGTACCTATATATAGAATATCAATATAAATGTTTTATTATTTTCTTTCTTCTTTTCTTTCTTTCTGATCTTTCGACTTTCCAATTTTACATTTAGATTTTAGAATAATCTGAGTTTCTCCTTCGAAAACAACAATTGGGCATATATTTAGAAATCCTAAGATAATGAAATAATTAAATATATAAATTATCAACATATAGACAAATAAAATTGAAAACACTTGACAATAACATACAATTATACACACAATTAAAAATGTCCTAAATTAATTAAATATTTTCCGCAGAAAGAGTTAAAAAGTCTTTAATAACATCCAATACGTTGTATACAAAAGAATGAGATCATACTGTTTTCAAGATTTGCAATTTGATAAGATTTTACACATCTGATCAAAGATAGCAGCATAATTCAATAATTTACGAAATTACTACATATATATATATACATGTTTTGGTTATTTATCGATTTGACTACGGTGTTATTGTACACAACATTAAAATGTAAGTAATGGTTAATTAAGGATATGCCAAAATAGAAACATTCTCTGGAAATGCGTCAGTGAAAGATGCATGCTGATACGTAATAATTAAATGATGAGACTAAATATTTTCATCGATCTCCATATATTCGAGGTGTGTTGTGAAAATAGAACGCATATAAACGTCATACAGAATTGTGAAACGAAATTAACACGAGCGGAGCAGAGCGGAGTTCAGGATGGGTTATCGGGCGGTTCTCGCGCTCGCACATCCTCCTAACTCATTCTCCGATGCTTCGCGCAAAACGTGGAAAGAATTTAGTAATCTTATATTGAAGTGACCCGTAACGCCGCTAACGTTCCTGTTTGAAGCGGATGATCCCTAGTTAATGATTGTCGGACGAAAAAATACATCATAGATACGCCCTCGATCGTATTCAGTCGTATTGCTCAAATTGTCTTACGATCTCATTATTGACGTAAAAAATATGTAGATAACATAACATGTGGACGCAAATCTAAGAAAAAATACTGTCTTGTTTATAAAGAAGCGTTGAAATATAAACAATGTCGGGAAATATCTGAGAAAATGGAAAGTCTTCGAAGTGATTAAAATACTTGAATGCTTCAAGTGAAATTGCTTGCAATTAACTAATTAACAAGTTCTTTAGTGACCTCACGGAGTTGTTTGAGATATATTATATATACATACAGATAAATTACAAACTGAAGGAAAACTCGCATAACCCTTTAATCTGTGCGTATATGTGGTTTTAGTTTTGCCGGCATATATTATGACTCTCGTAACCAGATTAACTAATTTATTACTCACGATCTCCGGATGTGTCTTTATTTCGCGCGATAAGAGCGACAGAATATTCAAGAATTATTAGGCGTTACAATGATATCGCCGTAAACACATTGCAACAAACTGCGTGATGCAACTCATATTTTCGGGGATTAAACGCGCGTTTAATTAAACATAAAAATTACATTATTTCGTGTAATCATTAGACGATTCGAGAAATTCGAAATTCGCGAAATTCATGAACTTTTAATTGTTATATAATATTTACCGTATCAGGTTAATTATACATATATTACACTATCACAGATATATACATACCCCACAAAAGCGACATGTACTTTAGCACATCACTAATTGTCGACGACAAACTTCTACATTGGTACTATCTTGACGGATCTTGATTAGGCGAGTGACCGCAAATTGGAATGAAAATGAGTTTACGAGTTCGTGAGATAACGAGCACCTTGGACATAGGTGGAATTACGGTGTGCAGCAGCCGAGATCTCCACGTGACTCGGGAAAGTACGAGAACTACGGCGGCACGTTTACCGGTTTTGCTGTCAACACAAAGTAGAACGTAATACCCGAGTGGCAGGCAAATATCCCTTCTACCGAAATCACTCTAGCGAAAACCGCTCGTAGAAGATGAATCATTTTCAGCATAACAACCGTCATATTTCAACGAGATACCGTATTGTTCAGTGCTTTTCACGAAAATTAGAGTTAGGTAAAGTTGCAATTCGAATTATGAAATATAATCCATAATATACTATTGATGTACTAAAATATATTTAAAAAATTAATTATACACTAGTAATATAAAAACAGAAAAGTATAATATTTTGATAAAAATAAATAAAAAGTAGAACGTTATTTTTCACAAATCAAAAATTTTATTTTATTTTTAAACTCATGTGATGCGGCAAACGACAAAATAATTTTTAGCGCAAAATTTTTTCCAATATTCTATTCACGGTAGAAAACGCTCACAAGAAAATCGGCAAACCGTGTTAATATTGGACGTATTGTCCAGTGGATCACTATTCTAATTTTACGGTGAGATATTATGAGATAAGATTTGAAGATATATTTTAATAATTCATATAATTATAATGTTAAATAATGCATTACTAAAATAATGATAAATCAGAAATTAATAAAGTGTAAATAATTGATCAATAAATTTGAAAATGAAATTTGATTTTATATTTGAAGTCAATTTTTATTATTCAACATATAAAATGTAAATTTATAATATAATATAATTTAATTTATAATATCTTTGAATCTCATTACGTTTAAAATTATTTCACTCAATATTGAATTAAAGCAGCAATATATAAACATATAAAAACGATCAACCGATGAATAGTCAGTCAGTTATATACACATTCCATGCATTTCCCTTTTCCGTGTTCGAATTCTGTGCGATTCAGAACATTGGTACACCGGCGAAATATCCGTAAAAAAAAAACAAGCAAAAATGCACATCTGCGTGAAGCATCAAACATCGAAACTTTTAAATTATATTCGCTTTGTTGCATACGGAAATTATAGATCACTGATTCATAAATCGTGCCTGGCGCTCAATTTATATTAATGCCCGGTGAATAATGTGCTGTCTTTTAGGATGATAAGTTCTGTTGTTGGCAAATACCAAAATACACACTACAAATTTATTATAATGCTGTATTAGCAAGATAAAAGAATCGAAAATTAAGTTTAATTACATTGTTTTTGTTAGAAATATGAGTTTTCCCGATTTTACTCACAATCAGCAAAAGTACTTCAATTGTATAACGATCTAAAATCGTAATCTTTATAATAATTAAAAACTCATAGAACGTAGTTTTTCTTCATTTTAGTAGTAATTCAGCTTAAATCGTATAACTAATATTTTTCGAAAGGCAATGACTCTTAAATGAAATAAACTTAAACTTTTAGTTTCTTTTTTCTTATAGCTAAACATATTAATTGGTGCATGTGTGAATTATTTTACTAAACTTGTACCAACGTTATAACTGATGCAAGAGATTTCGTAATATATATTAGTATTCGTAATATATATGCGCTTTTATTAAATCCGTCATGTCATTAATTAATATTTAACTTGATAGATAATATCTTAAATTAAGATGAATTAATTTTATTATTCATGTCAATTTAATGAAGCAAAATCGATTATTATTATTTCAATTATCAATAATTAAATCTATTTAATCATGTTATTTAATAAGTGTCTGAATTTATTTAATACGTGTAAAATATTTTCGATAGTTTCGAGATTTTCAAAAGATCGATGAATAGCTATAGAATTCAGAAAGAACAACAGAGGGTGTGAGTCAGACAGTATTAGATAAAAGAAATCCTTAAAGAGAAAATGCCACGTGTAAAATATATTGCTTTGTACGCAGGTATACAAGGAATTTAGTTGACGAAGGGAATGGCAGGTTCAATCTCATGGTGCTATGTTGGAGAGAAGGTCATGGATCAGCTATACATGATCACGCTAATGCGCACTGCGTGATGAAAATCCTCCAAGGGAAACTGTGCGAGGTACGAAAACAATTATTTTTAGTAGCGTTCAAAAATAATATCTATTTTTGGAACCATATCGAAATTTATTTAATCATATAGCTGGATATTGCAATATAAAATCAATAATAACATGTATTGCTGTTTAGACGAGATATGCGTGGCCCACAAATTTTGAAGCAGAAGAAAATGTGGAAGAGCTCAAAGAACTTGAGAGGAATACGCTTGAAACGAATGAGATCTGTTATATCAATGGTATGATTTGTTAAAATTATGTATATGTAAGAAGTTTTATACATCATTTCATATTTAATGGATAATAACTTTTATAACCTTTTTTTATTTTATAATTTTTTACAATTTACTTCATTGCGCATGCATTAAGACTGACCCTTTTGGCAAAAGATTTTAAATATCGAAATTTTAATTGTAGATAAAATTAATTGTGAGTAATATAATTCTTTTATATAATTTTGACGTACAATCTTTTTTATTTTCATTTAAGATTCGATGGGTTTGCATCGTGTTGAAAACCCGAGCGCGACAAATCCTGCAGTCTCCTTACACTTGTACTCGCCACCGTTCTCAACATGCTCAGTCTTCAATAAGCAAACTGGACAAAAGTCTATGTGTAAGGTCACATTCTGGTCCAAATATGGAGAAAAAAGGAATCGGGTAAGAAATCAGAAATTTATCTACTTATATCCCGAAAGCTTTTTTTCCGTGGAAAAATTTTTAAAATTAATTTATGCCAATAAAAAAATGTATCTATTAACTTATGTTTTCATATTTCATAAATTATTATGGAATAAATTATTAATAATTAATTATCGATTGTTCATATAAATAAAAAATTTATATGAGCACAAATTTAATATTTTATTCCATAGGAAATTCAAGACACCAGGCCTCCAGAGGATAACTAATTTAAGCAAGAATTCAGGAATACTACTAACGATATGCCAATTAAGAGCCAGTGATATTCTCTAATTCACCACAAAAATTCATATCGTTTGAAATTGAAATTGAATATTTAATTTGCATAAATTAAGATAGATATTAATTTCAATAATTCGCTTATTATATATCATATATTTTCGTCATGTAATCATTTTCAAATATTTGCATTTAAGAACTTCTAAACACTTTTAAATAAGAACTATTCTGTGCATTTAATGTGTATA